GGTGTGGTTTTGATTTGCAACATAGTACCATGTCTGATTGTAAAGCTGTTCTGCCCATTCTTCATGCATCACATACCATACGCGTAAGATTTTCACATTTTGAAATTAAGAGTTTAAGTTTTATTTTGTCATAATTTCAGGGGGCTTCACGTATAAAATTTTATGAGCGTTAGAATAACGGGGACATGAATAATATGTCGTACCGTCAGTAGAAATTAGCTGAAAAAAAACAAATTCTCACATTTGATTTCGTGACAGCGTGTTACGGTAAAGAGAAATACGGGTAATGTATGTGATTACACAAAAAGTGCACATTGTGCACCATCTGCCTGACTTTTTAATGCACATGACAATTTTCATTTACGAAACAATAATTAAATGCCTTCTTTAAGTCCGAAAAATGAAACCCTCTTTTTTGGTCGGGAAGTTTTGCATCTCCATGCTCAAAAAAATGTATTTTACGCGCCTTTGAGATGTGACTAGCACAAACATAACTTCTTGACTTTTTGGTTACAAATTTACTTTATAGTCGAACTGCTGTAATAAAAAGGCTGTGCAGTGCAAGGCAATCGCTCTTGGGCGTGATGTGACATCACGTCATCGCAAATGTGGCTTACTGTAGCGAATCCGCTTTTTTGTGTACATTGTCAGAAAGAGTAATTCGGCTGTCGTGTAATAAGAGCATTGAAGGATTAATTGTGAAGTTTTTTGGGAAGAAAATTGCGTGCCTGGAAACAATTCCTGGTTCCCCCCAAATTAAGAAACAACCTAAGCTGATCTTTTAGTTTTGCTCTGCTTGATTCTAAACTCGTAACTCAGCTGCAGTAATGGAGCTGCTCTAGCTTAGCGAGGTAAAAAAAATGGGAAATGCTTGCTCTAGTTAATTTCAATTTTGTCAAGAAGTAACACATGATAAAATAGTTGCAAAATTAGGCAGCTGTCGAAGGATCGAAACATTTTCCACTTATCAAGCAAGCATGTGTATAACTTCATGACCCACTAGCCCAATAAGGCACTTAACCATAATGGCCAAGCGAATGTTAAAGTTGTAGTAGTTCTTCATGTTAAGAACGATACTGCAAATAAAGCTGTCTCAAATTTATGTCAGCTTAATTTCTGGTAATAGTATATATTTCACATTAAAAAACAAAGTAATCAGTATCAATAATATAGTATTTGATACAGCATTGATAGCCTCGAAAGTCGTCCATAAAAGCCGAGTTGTAAAAATAATTGAGTTTTCATTTTGTTTCGTTTTGTAAGTCTCAGAACAAGGAGCAGACAGTCAATGTGTTGAATCAATTAGTAATCATATAAGGTCATAACATCAGCTCTAGCGAGCACAACTTTATGGGGAGATTCAAGCGTTATTCAATAAACAATGGCAAGCATAGGATCAGATGTAAACAACAGTTATAAGTTATGCAAGATATAGCGTTTTGTGGTCAGGACAAAGCCCTACGGTTACTCAAAGTCCAAGTACATGCAACTTCTTTTAGGGTAAGACACTTTCTGATCTGCATGGCGCAGATTGGGTCTTTGATAGTTACTGCATTTGCTGAATCAGTGCCTGCTGCTCTCTGCGGAGTTCTGCTGGCATCATTCTCTTGTGGTTTCGGTGAGACAACATATTTAGGATTAGCTAGCCACTATTCCAAGTTAGTTGAACAAGGACGCAGATGCTTCAAAAGTTTGTCAAATTTTTTGCAGGAACACGATCTCAACCTGGTCTTCTGGATCTGGGATGGCTGGCGTAGCAGCCACATTTGCCTATGCAGCGCTGACTGATGTCAATCTTCTCGCCTTGACTCCTTCAAAAGCTATGCTAATCATGCTTATCGTTCCCATTTTATTCACATTTTCGTGAGTCAGTCAGCTCTCATACTTTTCGGTCAAAAGTAACTGTTACTAGGTACTATATGCTACTGGTACGGGCGCCAACCATTCCAGAAATCAGTGCCTTTAAGCCCTCGACGTGGCTGGATTTTTCTGAGCCTTACAAGTACGCCCTTTT